GGGCCCAACCCGGCAGCCCTCCAGTTGCTCTTCTCCAGGCATCCCCAAGAGCAGCTGCGGTGCTGCCGGGTTGGTCCCACAGCCCCGAGGGGCAGCACTAAAGGACCAACCCAGCAGCACCCCAGCTGCTCTGCCCCCGGCTTCCCTGATTCAGCTGCTGGTCAGTTTCAACAGCAGCTGAATCGGGGAAGCCAGGCGCAGAGCAGCTCCAACTGTCTGGCAGCCGGAGCACTTCCGGGTTCCTGATGGTGCCAGACCATCAGGAGTGCCAGAGCATTGGATGCCGGACCAAGGGAGTTTTACTGTAGATACTGAAGTGACAATTCCTGGCCAATTGCATGCATCGCCACAGTTTGTTTTAATAATTGTTTCCATTTGTTATGTATTAACCCTGTCTATAAGTCCTTCTAAATTTTATGAAGTTGAAAAGAGGAAAATTGAGTTTGTTCACTCTAGAGTGACAATTGTCAAAAAATGGCATTAATTGAGCTTTTAATTTTTGCTTCCCTTTCTGAAATGTATTTTCTAAATACCAATGTGCTATAATAAAATACACTGACATTTTTAGATAGGCTTAGTTAAATTAAGTTACTTGTCTAATTGCTTCCCACTGAAGTGCAGCTAGGTTTTAATTGTAAATATTAATTGCCTCTTTGCAAAGCTATATTATTTTGACTAGCAAGTGAAGTGATTTGTGTTAAATTGGAGGGCATCACTTGTAGATAACACAGGCAAAGAGGTTATGGAAAATCTTTTTTCAGTCTGTAAATAAACAGTCTGTACACAGTTCTGTGGTGGCTTTAAAAGCTACAGCCACTTTACATTAACAGAGGATGTGGGTGGGCACAATGCTTTCTTCCTAAGGAGGACAGATGAATGTAGCATGCTTCCAGGCTGATAGAGAGCATGTGCAGGAATAACCACTATCCCCTTTGGGACAGCTTGAGTAACCTGCAGTTTGGAGTTGGAACACCACAGAATGAGCTCTTAAAACTCCTCTGAGCGCTGGGGAAGTTCTTATGCTACACCATGTTGATGAATGCTCAGCCAGTTCTTTAAACTCATGCAGAGGGGAGAATGGAGCTGGAGCCTTGCCTCTTTCTCACCCATTTTGAGGCAGGTTGCATATCAAAGGGATGTAGAGATGTTGTCGCTCTGCTTCCTAATTGAAAGAATGCAGTAAGGCTGCCCATCCCTGCATAGGTGTGATTATGCCTCATCCATTCAAGAATAATTGCTTTCTCCCCTAATAACCCTCCTCCCCTCACAAGAAAAGACAATAATCGAGCCCCTTAATTGTCACAACATGCTCTCCTCCTGATGCCAATCTGTACTGCATACTGGTGCAGCAGGGAGGCAAGGCCACCACTCCCTTCACCGATGGCCATCTGCGCCCAAGCTGCCACTTATGGTGCTGTGTCTGCCTATACCTTTAACTCAGGAAGCAGAAGCAGCAAACTTTTGGCCACTGGCTCCATAGGTATGCAAGGGAGAAAAGTTTTCCAAAATCCAGTCCTCAATGCAGTCCTCTTAAGGAAAATAGATGCATTTCAGAATGTTCCTTAAAGGTCAAAAGAATCAGGCAATTTGATACCTGGTGTTGGAGAAAATTCCAGAATCTAGGCAGCACATAAAAATTGCCTCTTAGTAACTTCATTTTTTATTTATATTATGTGGGGATCCTCTGTAGCAATATCACATGAGGAGAGAGGCATTTTTCTCTCCAATCTCATTTATGTTGTGATAGAAGGGAGGGGTTTGTGGGTAAGACTAGAAATTTGGAGGGTTTCTATATTCATGTGATGGATTCTGTGTCCTGTCCTAGAGATTTTTTGGGGGTATTCTGCTGCCTTTTTGATGACCCCTTTATGGAGACTATTCTATTTTTTTCAAATTCTTAAACAGAATCCATGTACATAGTCTCAGAGCACCTGCCCGTTAAGCAACATGACTGACGTCTGTCACATGCCATCATTTCCTCCTTTTTCCTTCCCTCTCCTCAAGGTGAAATTACATGTGGTGAAGGTTTATTTTAAAAGGTGAAACAGTACCGTGGGCTACATGGCAAGCACTTGTTTCATTTGAAAACATTTTAGTTAAAGAAGAATAAAGAATCTAAAGGAAGGAAATAATTTGTTCTGAAATGAATCATTATTAATTTTGCTTTATTAATGTATTTTGTATAGTTTTTAACTGCTAATTAAAACTTTGCCAGGTTTGGATGATTCCCAACTTCCCATAAGATCAGAAGTATTTGGCTGTGCTCCTTTTCTGCTAGTAATATTTAAATTCAAACACTTTAGCATTGAAGATTTTAAGCATAGATAACACTAAGAGGCTTTTAAATAGCTGGTGTATTAAAGCTAATCATACAGATGACAGAAAACATATCGAAGAGGAAAGTACATAATAACCTCTGTTACTTTGTGGTTTTTAGAAGATCAATAGAGTACATTCATTCAACATCTTGAATTGTGCTAGCAAATTTTTCCGTACTGGTCTGTTATAGAAAGTCTTTTGTTTGGTCAGACCAGGTATCTTTTGAACTTCAGCCATAAACACTAGACATGGTCTTTAACATTTTTGTTAGCAATATTCAGAATTAATTTCAGAATAATGACAAATTTTAATTCAGTAATTAATCGCATTCTCTTTATTCTGCACTCATCTTTTTTCTGCCAGATGCCTTCTCTCAGCTCCCCTTTCTTTCTCCATATTTGCTTCTATTCAGTCTGTCCCTCTCCATGCTACCTTCTTCTTTTTCATAAAAGCTAATGGTCAGGATTGTACTAGCCTAGTTTGTGTCCTGATTCTGAGAGTGCTGAGAACTCAGTTCCTTTGGATGTCAGTGGAAGTGGAGGGTTCTAAGCACCTTGAAGGTTCAGGCTCTAACTATTAAATTTATATCACAGGCTTCATATAATTTCTCATCAATGGAAATAAGGTATTCCAACTGATCCTTTACTAGAGGAATTGCAGAAATATGCAAAGTTATATAGTGCACCAAATAGACTAATAATCTAGAAGAAATCAAGCAAAGAATATATATCTGTTCAGACACATTATCATCAATATAGTTCATAACATACTTTTCCATTGATCTGTAACATTGCCCAGTGATGTAGGGCCATCTAATAGTCAATAAAACTGAGTTATCTCCCTCGGTCAGTCAAATGTTTTATATTTTAAGCGATTCCATCAGCTTAAAATCTAATCAGTTTACCAGAAAAGGGGGGCATTAAAAGAACTTTCAGGCACTATTCTTGCCCTGGAATCCCTCGCTGATGTGGTGATTTTAATTACATTTTCTTCATACAGTATTGTTTTTTCTCTTCCCTGTTGCATGAAAAACCCAGATGGGGAAACTGGTTGTACACAAAACATTGTCAAATGCACCAGGTAAACAGACTGACAAAGCAGAGAAACACATTTTTTCTCATCTCTGGCTATTAATCTCAGGCATTCACTGTAACAATAGTTATAAAATATTGTCCTGAAAGAAGTATGATTTTTAACAGTGTTTCTTTTAACTATATGATATTTAATATTTTAACAAAGAATGCATTTCAGTAAGAAATTTAAATTTGTTATATTGAAAAACAAAAAAACTCCCACAGACTGGCATGAGGAGGCATTTTCCAGAAACATTGAAAGCAGTACAGAGAGTTCTGTTTCTCAGACACTTGCCTACTAGGTGTTACTCACATGCTCAGGGTCAAGGAATTTTCCCCAAGTCAGATTGTCATGACTTTGTGAGGATTTCTGCCTTCCTCTGCAGTATGGAACATAGATCTCACTTGCTAAGATCATCTGGGTTCTTGTCAACAAATCAATCCCCTACCATTGCATGGACCTTGTTCCCTTCTGTGCTCTGCCTGCAGAACACAATAATTTAACCTTCTTAGGGCTGTAATACTTTAGTCCAATGGTTTTCAACCTGTGATTTGCAGATCCCTGGAGGTCCAAAGTAGTGTGCACCTCCATTTAAAAATTTTTAGGTTTCTGGAAATGGAAAAAATTTGAAAACTACGTCTTTAGTCTGTTGCAGGATGTGGGTCTCAATTCTGGTAACTTGGGTTGGGTTCTGTGCCCTGAAATATGCAGGAGATCAGACGATAATCTGATGTCCCTTCAAGCCTTAAACGCTGTGACACTGTAAAGATTCTAGTCTAGTTGAGGCCAGAAAATACCTTCTCCTTCCCAGGAGATCATTGCCGTGTTTTATAAACCTCTTATAAGTCAGTCTGTTTCTCAGAAGTACATTAGGGATCTACATCTGGTGGTAGAACATTCATTATGTGCCTGTGGCAGTGCTTGGAATTTCTGCAGATGTTGGCTAATGATGGTTCTGATCATGCCTGCACTGAATCATCCTGATTCCAGTGACCCTCTGCCAAGGCTTCAAGCCCTGTCCATATTGATCCCTTTTTATGACCAGGCCCATCTTAGCCAGTGTCTGTAGGATGCCTGCTATCTTAGCAAGATTAAGACCATTGTCTGTGCTACTTTGTGTCCTCTGTCCTAAACTAACATAGATCATTCAACAGTCAGAAAAAAGAAATAATCTGATTGGCTAATGAGATGCAGCCCAGTTCACCGATTAGAGTTGAAGCTTCATCACTTAATTAGCATATATAAATATTTTAAAATTATGCTTCATAATTGCAATACAATAATCCAGTGCACAAATTATTGTCCATTAATTCGTGCTTAGTTGCATTAATGGTATTTGGCCTTCCACTTGCTCTTGAAAATGTATTAGGTATGAATTAATGCACCACATTTCACACTGTGGTCTTTCTTAATGATTAAATAAGGTTAAAAATAAACTGATGTGGATATTTGTGCTCATTCAGAATATTCTATGATGCATCCTGCTGTTTCATGCAATATGTAGGTTTGGTTTTGAATGTTGAAAGTAATGCCTCTTAATGCATACATGAAAGTGGACCCAACTTCGGAAAACTGTGACAAGACAGACCACATAAGGTTTATGTCAGTGAAAGTAAATACTACATACAAGGAGAAAGATGAACAAATTAATTTTGTGACTTTACTCTTCTTTGTCTTAGCACAAGTCCAGCTCACAAGTACTACCTGGCTGTGGACCCAGTGTCAGAATCCCTTTATTTATCAGATACAAACACCAGGAGAATCTACAAAGTGAAATCTCTCAGTGAAACAAAGGATTTGGCAAAAAACTATGATGTGGTGGCAGGGACAGGAGATCAGTGCCTTCCGTTTGATCAGAGTCACTGTGGAGATAGTGGGAGGGCATCAGAAGCATCACTCAACAGTCCTAGAGGTAGGGAAACATTGTATTTAGTGTTTACCTTATTTGTATTGGTTAGGGTATTTTTATTTTCTTAATTATAGTAAAACTCAAATGAAGTTGGCTATATGAAATTGGATTTCAAGTGACATATACTCCTTCTCCCCATGCCTCATGATTGGAACAAAATAAGTTATCCTTTTCAGTATTACAAACAAGTTAGTTTTATTCTAGTTGTGTTTGACATAAATGAAATATTCTCTTTTGGTGATGTTCTTATTTATTATTTATTATTCACCATACAGTAAAATAATGTAATTTTAAATTTAATCTTTCAAACACTGTGGATGGAAGGGCTAATATATTGCTTGATGCATATAAGTATACATAGGTATATACATATTAAAGAAGACACAAGGCAACAATGTACTTGAAATGGAGATCCATCATAGTATTTATTTGGAAATCACTAATTTGTCTGGGCTCATTAATTATACCTTTATCAATATCTCACTTGTTCTGAGTAAAATAATAAGTTTGTAGCTTTTTGTTCCCAAAGTAAATATTGTATTTTCAGGAATTGCATATGTACAAATTCTTAATAATCAGTAGCACTAAAATCCAATCCACGTGCCTTAAAACTACTGTAAAACACAGCATACTGGCTCATCCTGCGCACCTTCAACTTGCGCACCTTCAGGTTGCGCTCCAGCAACCTGAGCACCTTCAACTTCTACTGAATTCAGTTGGAATGAAAGGTACTCGGTACTCAGCATTCCACATGACAGAGCTCTGAGTGAGTTGCTATTTGCTCATTCCTCTTAGCATCCTGCAAACTCCTAACGAATAGCTCTAATAAGGAAAATTTAGATTTTAGATCAACAGAAAATTAAAATGTATTTCCAAGGCAAGCAATGAACCCTGTTTTAAGATGTATTTAGTAACATATTGTAGCTAGAGCCAGAGTGACTTTAATGTGTCTTTAGTGATGGAAGGTAAGTGCAAGGTAAGTATAGAAATAAATATTAATCTTCAGGCAGCTAATTAATATGCCAAATCAACTCTAAAAATAGAAGGAAACATACTAGTCAATGTATTATTGCTGGCCATAATTGATTATATCTCATTAGAATACAACTTGCTGTTCTGTGTTGTTTATTTACAAAGGGAAAATATTGGTGAAAATTTCTAATATGTTGGTTATATATTTGGCTTTCTAAATATAAGACTGAAGTTATAAGGGAAGATGAATTGTGTTGTTACCACCTGATTTATAAGCTGCTATTTGATGCTGAAAGTACTATTAATGAGTCATGGAGCAGCTAGCAAAAACCTAAATGCATATAGTAAACTGAAAGCTGATACTGGCAAGGCAAGTGGTGAGTTCTGATTTCAGAGAAATCAGGAGCTGCATTTATTTAAGATAAATAAAAGGAAGTTCTTCACAGAGAGCATAGTAAATCTGTGGAATTCCTTGTCTGGGGAGGTCGTGAAGGCTAGGACTATAACAGGGTTTAAAAAAGAGCTAAATACATTCATGGAGGTTAGGTCTATTAACGGCTATTAGCCAGGATGGGTAAGGAATGGTGCCCCTAGCCTCTGTTTGTCAGAAGGTGGAGATGTATGACAGGAGAGAGATCACTTGATCGTTACCTGTTCGGTTCACTCCCTCTGGGACACCTGGCATTGGCCTCTGTCAGCAGACCGGATACTGGGCTGGATGGACCTTTGGTCTGACCCAGTATGGTCATTCTTATGTATTATGCGTATGCTATTATTTTCATAACCTTGGTTCCCCATCTCCACAATTAATTATGTTGTGTCTTTTAGTTTGTAAGTTCTTTGAGATATGGACTGTCATTTTCCATCTAGGAGTACAGTGCCTAGCATGAAGGAGCCCCAAACTTCAGCCATTACTGCAATATAAATAAAAATAATAAATAAACTCATTAAAACATCAGCTACCATAATTTCTCCAAGAATGAACATTCTAGTTTGCGAATAGCAACATAGAAATATAGGGCTGAAAGGAACCTCAAGAAGTCATCAAATCCAGCCCCTCCAGGCTGAAGCAGCACTAAGTAAACAGAACACACCTGACAAGAGTTTGTCCAACCTGTTATTAACCTCCAGTAATGGAGATTGCACAACTATCCTTGGACGCCTGTTCCAGAACTTAATTACTTTTCTAGTTAGAATGTTTTTTCTAATATCTAATCTAAATCTCCCTTGCTGCAGATTAAGCCCTTTACTTCTTGTCCTATCTTCAGTGAACATGGAGAAAATTGATCACAATCCTCTCCATGACAGCCTTTATAATATTTGAAGGCTGTTATCAGATTGCCTGTCAATCTTCTTTTCTTAAGACTTCAACAGGACAGTTGCTCCAGAGCACAGAGATTCAAAAGTGCCTGGGGCTCTCAGCTGCCACTGTGGCAGTGCCTAGAGCCCTGGGCCCTATAAATCACCTCTGGAATCGTGGGCCCTATAAACCAACATCATAGCCCTGCAGGGCATGCTCCAAATAGCACTGAGGACTAGGGAGGGAGATGCACCACAGTCTGGGACTCACTGAGGGCTAGTGGCCCAGCTTCCCTTCCGTCTGAGGCCCCATTCCTTCTGGGAGCATAGATCCAGGTCCCCCTTTGCCCAGGGGGCTCTTGTTGATCCTAGTCAAAAGCATTAGTAAAATCAATATGTATTACCTTTACTACTTCTCCCCTATCCAGTAGGCTAGCATCTTGTCAAAGGAGGCTATTGGGTTGGTTTGGCATGATTTATTTTTGACAAACCCATGCTAGTTATTTCTTTTCACCCTCTTACCCTCTAGGTCAGTGGTTCTCAAAATGTGGTCCATGAACCACTAGTGGTCTACAACCATATTACAGCTGGGCCACAGGCTCAGGCTTCCCCTGCTCAGCAGCTGGGAATCTGCGCTGGTGCACCAGCCTCCCCCCATGAGGATCTGGCTTGCTGGGATCTGGCTTTCTGGGAAAGGAAGCAGCTTCGCGTGCTGGGCTGTGAAAATGGCAGTGCAGGAAACTGCTTGCCTGGAGATTTTCACTTCTGCTCCAATTGGCCAGATTCATGGCCAATAGGAGCAATGGGGGATGGTGCCTGGGAGCAGAGGGAGGCAAGGAGCCAGGTAAGCATCCTCATCCCCAGACCCACACCCCGATCGCCTTCACATCCACACCCTCCAACTGAAACCCTGTATCCCCACACCACTCCTGTACCGTCCCTCTTTCCCAGACCTGCATCCCACTACTGCACCCTCCCCCCAGACCTCCCACCTCTATCCTGCTCCTGCACCCTCCCTTGCTCCCAGACTCCCCACCCTACTTCTACACCCTCCCTCTTTCCCAGACCCTCCCATCAGCCAGCTCTGCACCCTACCGCCTCCCAGACCACCACCGTACCCCTGCAACTTCCCTCCCACAAAGACACCCCATCCTCAGCCCACTCCTGCACCCTACCTTCCTTCCAGACCTGCCACCCCATTCCTACTCCCTCCCTCCTTCCAAGACCCCTCACCCTCTGTCTGTTCTTGCACCCTTCCTTCCACCCAGACCTCCTATTCTCAGCCTGCTCCTGTACCCTACCTCCCAGTCAGACCCCGCACCCCTACACACTCCTGCACCCATTTTGTCAACATGTGTGGCTGTCTGGTGCTCCATGGAGTAGAGTGAGCTATGGGCCACTACTCTAGGTGATTTATATGTTGATTGATTAATAATTTGTTCCAATATCTTTCCAGGTATCAAAGTTAGGCTGACTGGACTATAATTCCCTAGACATCTGTGTTCCCCTTTTTAAAAATAGATACTGTGTTTCCCCTTTTCCAATCTTCTGAAAACCCACCATCTTCCATAGATTTTCAAAGATAATTACTAATAGTTCTAAGATTGCTTCCTCTAATTCCTTAAGTACCCTAAGTGTGAACTTCATCGGGCCCTGCTGACTTGAATACAAGTAACCTATGCGTTAACTTCCTCTCTCTCAATTTTGGTTTTTATTCCTTTGCTTTTGATGCTAATATTAATTGTGTTGTTCACAGTCTTTTTACAAAAAACAGGACTATGTAGCACTTTAAAGACTAACAAGATGGTTTATTAGGTGATGAGCTTTTGTGGGCCAGACCCACTTCCTCAGATCAAAATCTGATTTCATAGTCCTGTTTTTTGTTTCACCTACACCATACTAACACAGCTATATTTCTATCAAAGTCTTTTTAGTGAGAGCTGAAGCAAAATAGATATTAAACATCTCAGCCTTCTTAATGTTGTCAGCTCTTCTTTCCCACTAAGTAGAGGACCTACACTTTCTTTCATCTTTCTCCTGGTATATTTAAATAACCCCTTCTTGTGGCCTTTTATGTACCCTGCTTGGTGTAACTCATTTTGAGCCTTAATCTGATTTTGTCCCCACATGCTAATACTATTCTTTTATATTCCTCCATAGCAATTTGTCTATGTTTTTACTTTTTGTAGGATTCTTTTTTTGATTTTCAGGTCACTTAAATACTCCTCATTGAGAGAAATTGCCCTCTTTCTTTTCCTCCTTTCATTCTTTCACATCTTTGCAGTTGTGCTTTTAATATTGTGTGTCTGTGAAATTGTTGGGTCTCCTTAATACCTTTTCCCCTTAGATTTTCTTCCCATGGGACCTTACCTACCAGTTCTCTGAATTTCCTTTTTGAAGTCCTTTGTACTTATCCTGCTGCTCTCTCAACCTTCTGTCTTTAGAACTATGAAATGAGCACTTTCACTGAAATTGCCTTATAACATCAGATTTGCTACTAATTCCGCCCTGTTGCTGAGAATCAAGTGTAAAATGACAGTCCTGGTTACTTTCTCCACTTTCTGATACAACAAGTTGTTCCAAAAACTTCCTGGAAATTTTGAGTTTTTCTATATTACTTTTTCAACAAACATCTGAGTAGTTAAAATCCCGTTACTACCATGTCATATTTGGATATTATCATTGTTTGTTCTAGAAATGCCTCATCATCCGTCTTTGCAATTTGGTGATAT